GTTCCAATCCGAACCTGAAGTTCATCGTCCCATTAATTTTGTGAGAAGATGGGTTATAGATACTGAATAATCTACTCGATGAAATAACCTTACATAGAAAATGTCACGAGGTCAGTACACCTGTGTAATATTACATCACAATAATGTAATATTGTCCACAATTAGATTTTGAGGGAAATATATTTGAGAAGAAAAACAAAAGGTGATGAAATATATAGGAGAAAAATGATACTATCACAACAATATAACCACAACACTTAAATGTTAATGTCGGATTGTTTTTGCTGAAAATAAATGAAAGAAACACTTTATACCCGGAATATTAATAATTGTTTTATATTCACTTTTGTTTCTTTTTTTTTTACTATCGATATTATATTCACTATCGATATTATATTCTATTTAAAAGATACACTTGGACTATTGTGCATTACGACAGGATTTAATCTGTCCTAACGTAATTGGTAGCTGGTTCTGGTGGATATTGCCGACGTCGGGGTGGTGTTTCTGGTGGCAGGCTCAAGGTCGTCATCTCTATGTTTCTTGGTTGTGGCTTTGGCTTTCTTCTGAATCTGTCCACCAAGGCATACATAGCTTCTGTTTTTGTTTCAGTACCACTTGTTTGCCCTAACACGTTTGACCTTTTTATATATCTTAACAATCTTAAAAAATTATGACAAAAAGAGAATGGCGAGGAATAAACCAGCTCCGAGGAGATAAAATAACCAATGTACCTGAGGACGAAACGGATTTTGTAACAAAGGGTGTAAATTAGTTCGAATTTGCCCATGGCTTTGTGAAATTTTGTGTTGTTTTGATTAATTGGGGCCAAGGTAGAAATTGATAATATTGTTAGTAAAGTTTGAGTGAATTAATATTCTTTATCTTGTTTTGAAATATTATACAGAAACTTGGCAATATTGTTTTTCTTGCCAACAATCTGTCTAACATTAAAATTGGAAAGTTATTGTGGGTAAAATGGTTACGTGAAATACGACGAATGAGCGGAACATCCCTTTATTAAGGTTATATTGTTTATTCCTCGACTTCAAGCAATGTTATTTAATAAATTAAGAGATGGATCTAAACATACAAGTCAAGAGTAGTGTCAACAGGGCTGAACACAAATCATTTTTCGTGTGTTAAAGACTTCACAATTGGAATTTGAGGAATGGGGGAGTTTTACAACTTGTTTGCATTAATTTAGGGTTATGCAAAAATAATGAAGATTCACACGAAGGGGCAAAATTGATTGATAAAATAGGTTTTCTTTATTTACAATGAGATAGAGCCGGTTTAATGCAAAAAAAAACTATTATCCAACCTAAAATAAATATTTCGATCAGGGGAGATTGATTGACCACAAAGATAAATCAACACTTGTTTCATTAAAAATATTAATGGATTATAAATATGAGTGAAATAATAGAGTTCCATAGTTCCAGTGGTCCTTACATCCTGTATTTGTATTTTAATCGTGACTTACTAGTTAAGAAGAAATAAAGTAGTTTGTATTTGTGAAGAAGACTTCTAATATATACGGGAGCTGGGACTCTAGACCAGACACATCGTATAGTACATTTAAAATCATGACACTGAGGAAAGAAAAAAACTGAAATAAGAGCAGTTAATCAAGAATTGCAATGGTTTGGAATAATTCCTTATTCAGCAAAATGGGAAAATGCACATAATATTAGATAGTTTCAATGTAAAGGAAATTTCATTTTAGAAGGTTGAAAAATTTCATTAGACAAAAGATTAACTTCGCATTTGTATTTTATTGAACATTCTTTGTAAAGAGGTTTTATTTTATTACTATTAATCTATGCAGTTATAAAACGCGTTAGTTTGAGTTGAAATACAAGAACCACAGACGTCGGAATAGAAATTGGAATGGGTGGAATTGATGCGACCCTGAGCACTCCGGGTTCGAGACCATATCCCCGGCTTCCCCAGTGAAAAACGTCAAAATTTACAAAATGTTTACATCACCTCTTGTGTGACTATTATTGTGGCCATTTGTGTATAAATACATCAGTAATGTCAAAAGAAGGTTTGTACCTTCATTTATCTCCAATATTGGATCTTCTCATGCCGATTACGCCAGCAGGTGGAGCCTTCTCGGATGCACAAATAGCGATGACAATAACCGCACCAAAATGTTGTTCACTGGAATGGTATATCCTAGGCAGCAGCCTCTGGGTGCACACGCTTATACTGATTTTACTTGTAAGAACATACTGCACAAATATTGTTACTAGTAGCTTCATGGGGTCTCTCGGGGTAGTGAAGCCCCACATTTTGCATGCGCTGCGGAACTTCATGTTCGCGTGATTTGCGTCGTTAAACTAAGCTGCGAAAGTCCCCGATCAGTCCGAAACATACCTCATCCACAAAATGTTGAAAAGTGTAGTAACTCTTTCCAGGCATATTATTTGGTTTATAGAATGATTTGAGTACATAAGCGTTATAACATGCCCACATGAAAAATTTGACCATCAATCTCCGAGGCCAGCGATAATGGCGTCTCAATTTTTGTAGATGTGTAGGGTCTATTTCATCTACTAGGTGAAGGAATGTCTAGACTGATAAACGATCACGGTCCATGACATCTCTGAATCCTGGTTCCCCCAGTGGCCGGGGTTAAGAATAGGTCCACCGCCCCCCATTGCGTGTCGTAAGAGGCGACTGAATTGGGGCTCCTCGTTTGCCGTGAGGTGCGACCCGTGTTGGTTTTGAATGGACACCTGGTGGTTGAGGGTAACATACTTCCCAATACATCACTTTGGGCCAGGGGATTCCTAGACGGGTGGCCAGTGTGGCCCACACTAGTCAATCGGCTTGTCGTGTTGAGCCTATGAGTCGGTGGTCAGAACAGATTAAACTTTTTCTTGTAATAGTATCTTTTTTCTTCCAAATTATTTCACTGACTCAGAAGCAGTGGCTTGGGTCAATTGGGTAAAAAAATAAAAATAAAAGTTCGGAATTTATTTTTTATTATTCGATGTGCGCGTTGCGGTCAGTCTGGGCATGACAACAAGGATTGCACCGATGCTCCTTGTTGTTGCAATTGCAATGGAAAGCATGTTGCCTTTTCTAAAGACTGTCCAAAGTGGCAAACTGAAAAAAAAATTAATAAAATTAAAATTGAAAGCAAAATATCGTATCCCGAAGCGAGGAAGGTTGTAGAAGGTGCAACTCCATCTACTCCTTCCGGAAAGTCTTTTGCTAATGTCGTTAAGGCTTCTACCAAATCGGTGGAATGCCAAACCGACATCACTTGGCTGACACGGTTACCAGTAGCGTCTCCGGCCCTATTACCAACTATTCATAAGGCAACACCATCTAAATCATCCGCGGCTCAGGCTTCTCAGACTGAGAAGTCAGTAGCTGATGATAGTAGTTTAAGTCTACCAGCTAAAGACGTTCAGCCAAAAGGGACTGGTAAGCAGTCCAGACAAAAGCTCGACTATGGGTGTATGGATCAGCTCGTCCATCCTATATCAAAGAGCTTGATACCATACACTATCAAGGACTTAGAATCAGTTTAGGTGCGTTTCGCACTACTCCAGTTGAAAGTCTGTCCGTCGAGGCTAATGAGACCTCATTGTACGACAGACGTGACAGGCTTTCATTGCAGTACGCTATCAAGATAGCATCATTGCCACAACATCCTGCTTACTGCCCCGTATTTAGACCTTACTTTCAACACCTGTACGAGGCAAAGCCTCCTGCTGTTTCTTCTGTTGGAGTCCGCATTCAACCCCTTATGTCAGCGGCTGGTATAAGCCACGACAGTATTGCGGACTTCGTAATGACCATAACTCCACCGTGGTCGATTGCTCCATTTCAGATAGACTTTAGTCTATCGAGCAATAAGAAAACTCAGACAAGCTCTATAGTGTTTCAATCTAAATTTCTAGAACTAAGGTCTAAATATGGGGATTACTCACCTTTCTATACAGATGGATCTAAGGATGGTGATAAGGTAGCAGCCGCTACAGTTACACCATCCGAAGTTCTATCTGTAGCTTTACCATCAACAGGCTCCATTTTCACAGCAGAACTCATTGACATTTTACAGGCACTTGAGTTCTTTCAGTCCTCTACATCATTAAAAAATTGTATTATATTTTCTGATTCTTTGTCCTCATTACAAGCTATTTATAACTTCCAGCTTGTACACCCAATAATCGGGGATATATACAAGCTCTCTGGGCCGAAAAAGGACATTGCCCTTTGTTGGCTCCCCAGTCACATGGATATACGGGGGAATTACATGGCAGATGCGGCGGCTAAGGCTGCTTTGTCACTGCCTGTTTCCCCCTTTTCTTTGCCTTTCACCGATTTTAAATCGGTGATAAGGTCTTTTATTCAACATCGATGGCAGCAAAGATGGGATGCTGCAGACACTAACAAGCTTCATGCCATTAAGCCTGGCCCTCCTCCTATTGTGCTAACAGGAGAAATGGAGTTGTTTTGTGTCGCTCTCGTCTTGGACATACTCACCTCACCAACTGTTATCTGCTCAAGCGAGAGCCTCAACCAGTCTGTGAGCACTGCCAGATCCGCCTGACAGTGAAACACATTCTGATTGAGTGCAAGCATCTCAAACCTTTGAGATCCCAGCACTACCGTGCTGGATCTTTACATCAATTATTTGCGCAACCTTCTCTTTATGAGAAGGTTGTGGCTTTTTTAAAAAAAGCCGGTCTTTATTTTAAATAGATTAGTCATTGTTTGTTTTACATATTTTGTTTGTTTTTAATACCACCATATGGTGTATTACCTGTGATATTATTTTTAGTGTTTTTTTGTAGTCATTAAATGACTGTTTCTGTGATATGGTTTTTATTGTTTTTTTTTGTTTTTGTTTTTGTTTTTTGTTTTATCACTATGTGACCTTTCTGTGATATTGATAGGTGTTTTATTGTTTTAGTTTTTTCATTATTTTAACGTATTCTGGAGCTATATAGCCCATTTGGTGCTGATGCTCCTTAATGCATTTCACTTCATTTCATTTTGTTGCCCAGCTTCCTTCTCCTTACATTTTGTTAGGAGATTTCAGTGGTCACTATTCTTTCTGGGGTAGCTCCGATGATAATAGCAGAGGAAAATTAATAGCTGACTTCATTTATGACAATGATCTTTGCATCTTTAATGACGAATCGCCTACGCATTTCTGCTCAAAAAACAAAACTTTTTCTCATCTAGATCTGACAATTAGCTCTCCATCTTTGTTCCAAGATTTTTCTTGGAGTGTCCACGACGATCTCTGCCACAGTGATCATTATCCTGTAATTCTACGGAATAATGGTCCTTCACCTGTAGACAGGCCACAAAGATGGAAACTCTCCAAAGCTAATTGGCCTCTCTTTGAGGCTCTTTGCATTTCTTTTTTTCCTCAAGATGATCTAGATGAGGCAGAAGACCCGATGGAATTATTTACCACCATCTTACAAGATGTATCGGGTCAGGTGATTCGTAAAACCTCGGCAACTCCAAAACGATTCAATAAACCATGGTTTAACGAAGACTATAAGACAGCACTGAAAGAACGTAATCGTGCTCTAAGACTCCTTGAACGTTCTCCTACTGATAACAATGTGGCCTCTTTTCGCATTGCACGGGCGAAAGCCAGAAGGACTATCCGCCAAGCAAGGAGGTCGTCATGGCAGGAGTACGTTTCAAGGATCAACAGTCGTACGTCTTGTAAATCAATCTGGGATAGGATTCGTAGGATCAAGGGTAAAGCGGATACAATATCTGTGAACCATCTAGAAATAGATGGTTCAACTCTCACCACTCTTCCAGATATTGCTAATTCCTTGGGCCACACCTTTTCGTATAATTCTTCCTCTAACTTTTCCTCGGATGCTTTTCGGAGAGTCAAACTCAGGGAAGAGAGGAAAAAACTTAATTTTACATCAAAAAACGAGGAATATTATAATGGTAAATTTAAGATCTCCGAATTAAAGTTTTCTTTGAAACAGGCTCATGATACAGCTACTGGGCCTGATGATATCCATTACCAGATACTAAAGCATCATTAAAAAAACTTTTATGTATATTCAACCAGATTTGGGATGACGGTGTATTTCCTCCATTTTGGGGGATCCCTACCATTGTACCCATTCCTAAACCTGGTAAAGATCCTACGAATCCTACTAATTACCGCCCTATTGCATTAACCAGCTGCATTTGTAAAACCATGGAACGAATGATCAATCTAAGGCTCGTTTGGCACCTTGAGTCAAACAATCTTCTTACCAACCTCCAATGTGGATTTCGGTCCCAAAGGAGCACTCTTGATCATCTCGTTAGATTTGAATCGTTTGTCAGGGATGCCTTCATCCAAAATAAACATCTTGTAGCCATATTATTTGATTTGGAGAAGGCTTATGACACCACTTGGAGATATGGCATTCTTCGTGATCTCTTTTTTCCAATCTCCAATTTCCTACATGATAGGACGTTTAAGGTTCTACTTGGCTCCATTTTTTCAGATCCTTTTCCTCAGGATAATGGAGTTCCACAGGGTAGCATATTATCCGTTACCCTGTTCTCTATTAAAATTAATTCCATCACGTCGTGCCTTAGACGGGGGGTTGATGGCTCTCTGTTTGTTGATGACTTTCAGATGTGTTATGGCTCTACAAACATGCAGACGATTGAGCGTCAGTTGCAGCTTTGCTTAAACAACTTACTGCAATGGGCAACTGACAATGGATTTAGGTTTTCGAAATCCAAGACCGTCTGCATGCATTCCTGTAAACGAAGAGGATTGCACCTAGATCCAGAACTAAAGCTGGATGGTGCCTTTATTCCTGTTCTGCGGGAATTTAAATTTTTGGGACTCACTTTTGACAGCAAGCTTTCTTTTCGTCCCCATATTAAAATCCTCAAGAACAAATGTCTGAAAGCTCTCAACATACTGAGAGTCTTATCCAATACTGACTGGGGAGCCGACCGAAAGGTCCTCCTCGGATTGTATCGAGCTTTGGTTCGTTCCAAGCTCGACTATGGGTGTCAGGTGTATGGATCAGCTCGTCCATCCTATATCAAAGAGCTTGATACCATACACCATCAAGGACTTAGAATCAGTTAAGGTGCGTTTCGCACTACTCCAGTTGAAAGTCTGTACGTTGAGGCTAATGAGCCCTCATTGTACGACAGACGTGACAGGCTTTCATTGCAGTACGCTATCAAGATAGCATCATTGCCACAACATCCTGCTTACTGCCCCGTATTTAGACCTTACTTTGAACACCTGTACGAGGCAAAGCCTCGTGCTGTTTCTTCTTTTGGAGTCAACCCCTTATGTCAGCGGCTGGTATAAGCCACGACAATATTGCGGACTTCGTAATGACCACAACTCCACCGTGGTCGATTGCTCCATTTCAGATAGACTTCAGTCTATCGAGCAATAAGAAAACTCAGACAAGCTCTATAGTGTTTCAATCTAAATTTCTAGAACTAAGGTCTAAATATGGGGATTACTCACCTTTCTATACAGATGGATCTAAGGATGGTGATAAGGTAGCAGCCGCTACAGTTACACCATCCGAAGTTCTATCTGTAGCTTTACCATCAGCAGCCTCCATTTTCACAGCAGAACTCATTGCCATTCTAAAGGCACTTGAGTTCTTTCAGTCCTCTACATCATTAAAAAAATGTATTATATTTTCTGATTCTTTGTCCTCATTACAAGCTATTTATAACATCCAGCTTGTACACCCAATAATCGGGAATATATACAAGCTCTCTGGGCCGAAAAAGGACATTGTCCTTTGTTGGCTCCCCAGTCACATGGATATACGGGGGAATGACATGGCAGATGCGGCGGCTAAGGCTGCTTTGTCACTGCCTGTTTCCCCCTTTTCTTTGCCTTTCCCCGATTTTAAATCGGTGATAAGGTCTTTTATTCAACATCGATGGCAGCAAAGATGGGATGCTGCAGACACTAAAAAGCTTCATGCCATTAAGCCTCTCGTAGGAGACTGGCCCTCCTCCTATTATGCCAACAGGAGAAATGTGTGATTGAGTGCAAGCATCTCAAACCTTTGAGATATTAGCACTACCGTGCTGGATCTTTACATCAATTATTTGCACAACCTTCTCTTTATGAGAAGGTTGTGGTGTTTCTAAGACAAGCAGGTGGATTAGACATTGTTTTTAATATTTTGTTTGTTTTTAATATCACTATGTGGTGTATTACCTGTGATATTGTTTTTAGTTTTTTTTTACTTTTCCTGTGATATGGTTTTTATCGTCTTACTATGTGACCTTTCTGTGATATTGATAGGGGTTTTATTGTTTTTGCTTGGCAAATCTATCGATTTGTCACGCTTTGTTTTTCATGATAATTTTTTTTTTTTTTTTGGGGAACGTCCCTAGACAAAATCGTAAATGGTATAGCATAATTCTCTTCACCAAACATTTTTAATTGACCTGGAATCAAAAATGAATATCTAAAACTCAATTTTTGCTAAACCGGTAGTGTGCCATTGCATAATGTGCAAATGTTTTGCATCAAGTCTGTGGGGCTTATTTACGAAAATGGTATAGCATAATTGTCTTCACCAAACATTTTAAAATGACCTGGAATCAATAATGAATATCTAAAACTCAATTTTTGCTAAACCGGAAGTGTGCAATTGCATAATGTGCAAATATTTTGCATCAAGTCTGTAGGGCTTATTTATGAACCGATTTACCTGAAATTTTCTTTAATATGTTCATTGTTATAAGACGTATCTGGTGAGGCTAGAAATAATTCAAGTTTTAAATAATTTTGTCAAAAAAATTTGAATCCAAAATTTTCAAAAAAGCTCAAAATTTCTAACTCAGCCGCTAATTATCTGATTGATCTGAAACTCACTGGACATATACAGAATGTCCAAACAAATAAATTTATGCAATCAAAATTTTCTATCACTTCCGGTTTTTGCGTGAGAACTTCCGGGTTTTTTAAATCACGCCTGGCACTCATACTTCCGGTGTAAATTTCATATGTTGACAAAACCATATATATTGTCTGTCAGTCATAATTAGAATGCACTTAGCAGAAAAAATCCAAACCGGAAGTGATGCATAAGCCGTCGCCTCGGACTGACCCATTTTAGCAAAAAATTAATTAGTCCTCCATTTTCATCCGATTTTTATGAATTTTGGTGTCTATTAAAACCTTGTAACCTTGTACAGTTTCTTGGAACATACTTTCGAATTTTTTTTATATTCGTTTGAATTTTTTGAAAATTCAAAAGGCCACATCATGTGACCTTGACCTTCGATGACCTTGAAAATTTCTCTGTAGGATGTTCTTGACCTCGGCTATCCACAGGTGTACTCATATTGGTTGAAAAATATTAACTTCCGGTTTAATAGCTATTCAAAAATTAACATTTTTGACAACTTTGGACGGCTGTATGACCTTTTCTAATAAACACAGAAAATTATTTTTTTCAATTTTGCAATTCCCTTTTGATTATCTTTTCAATGATATATGACAATAATCCATTAAAATATGTTTTAAAAATATTGGGTTTTTTTTCGACTGAGGGTTCTAACTCACACTGTAATTCACTACTAGATTCAGGATCTACTCAATTTTCTCTTTTCAACGATATGTGACATGGGTGGTTTAATACAAAATTGAATTTGTGAAAATAGGCATAAAAGTGTTAAATGTATATAAAAAAATGTGATAAAAATCTGTAGATTGTGGGGATTAAAATGATTGACAGGTGTTATAACAGGTTATATAATATGATAGGAAAGCTATCCATATGAACTTTTGACATGCAGGTGTTAAGTAGTTTGGGTCATAAACAGATTAATCTGATTATCTTATTATCTTTTAACAAAAAAAATGCGACAAATTTTCGAAATTTGAAATTTTGAAACTGCTATTCTTTCAGATTTTTACAGTAGATTCCAAAAATGCAAACCCAAAGAAAATCGATCGAAAAATACGACTTCTAGAGCCTATTTTCTATTCTTGCACATATTGAACTGTGCACTTCCGGTTTTGCAAAAAAGATCCAAAATATATTTATGCACATCGTCGCCTATATCTAAGGTTCGTGAATGTTGAATTGGTGCTGCAACTATTGTACTTTAAGCTCAGGAAGGTGTGGACGAAACGGAAAAAAAAAAAAAAAATTGACATTTCGATAACAAACTGGGACTTTGCGGTAAACAATAAAATAATTAGTGAAAAAGCTAAAATGCAAATGAATTGACTTTGCGGTAAACAATAAAATAATTAGTGAAAAAGCTAATATGCAAATGAATTGAAACTGAAGCTTAAACAAAGGTATTTACATGAATTAAAGACGAAATTGAAAATAAAAGGGAAAAGAACTATATAAAGCAAAATTACAACGTAAATATCGAACAGATTACATTTAGGAAAAGAGCAAAACAAAGGGGTATTCATAATTATAAAGTAGATATTACGTTCAGAACTATGTTAAAGGAATCGAACAAAATCCGAAGAAAAGGAAAAAAAAGAATTGCAAATAACATTACCAATGCTTAAGAAAAATTTAAGAAAGACATTTCCGAAGGACCAAGTTAAAGAATGTAACGAGGAATTATATGGGCAAAAATCCAAGAGAATTCAAATGGTAGATAAAACATGTGTAACCAAGACCTACCTTCATGTGTGCACTAACCAATGCCAAGACAGGTGCTCTTATTCTGATAATTATAAATCTCTATGGATATGTTTTACATGCTATAGAAAAATTGTCTGTTGTTAACAACATGGATCCCGGAGTAATACCTGATGAGCTGAATTGCTTGAATCAATTAGAGAAATCAATTAGAGATTACTAAAAACACAATAATAGTAATTATTTCGATGTTATTTTGACTAAAGAATGTATAGAAGAACAGGATCATAATTTATCTGTGCTTGATAACTTGATAAATGATAACACTGACGA